CATGGCCACAAAAGGTTAATCTATCATGATGAGAAAAAACAGAAAGTTAGGGTTGAACTAGCAAATACTGTAGAATTTGACAAAAGAGAGAAATTGAATGTTGCAGAATGATGAAAAGTGGTCCCTTTGTCCTTCAGCAGCCTTAGCCTCTAGTAGCATAACTACAGTACAGGATAACCTGAGCCAATTTTCAGAAACATGGTTTCAAAAAGGAGAATGGAAAAATGTTTGCTTTTTATATGTGACTGAACCTTTCATTAGATTGTATCACTTCTTTTTCCTGCAGACCATATGTCTTTCTGCCCAGCATAACATACCCAGTGGGACAAGCCAAAATGAGAGAACAAAAAAATATTATCATGTCCAGTCTGGTCTGTAAGTGTTGGGAACTGGGTTTTGGTTTCTCCTGGTTGTTTTGGAGGGGCACACCCGTTGGCTCTGCCTGTGCCCCTGTTACTTAACACCTAATCATCCTGGAGCTTAAGAGGAAGCAGACTGCCAGCATCTCATTGCCTGAGTGTTTGCCAGTGATGTTACTCTAAGCCCCATACAGATATTCTCTGTGTGCTTTTCCTTTAGACAAACTTTCAGTAATTAACCCTCCTTGCCTACCTTCTCTCACGTGTTACCTCAGCATTTTGCCTGAATCTTGCATTGTTGCTCTTCTTTTCTTGGAATTAGAAACGACTTAGTTTTCAGTGTAGCCTTAAAAAAGCACGGAATACAGGCAACCCAGGTGAGAACCAAATGTCATACTGAAGAAGTTTTTTTGGCTCAGACAAAACCATTAATGAGGAAACAGTTTTCAAGAGAATTTTCTCCCTAGAAGTAAAAAAAAAAAAAAAAAAAAAACAGGAACTAGAAACAGAACCAGGTGGGACTTCAGGAACATCAACACTGATGAGATAACAGTTAAGATTATGTATTATGTAAGGAATTAGTAAATAAAGAGATCGGGTTTGGCTTTCATACAGGGGACGAATCTTAAGGGTGGGCATAGGTCTGCAGGCTTAATGAGCGGATCCTGTCCATATTGACAAAGTCTGTCCTTATTTCATTCACCAGATTCTAGAAGATGGCTGTGGCAATAGACAGACCAAATGGCATGATCAAATAGTGATAATACCCTTATGTGGGTTTTAAAAGCTATTTTCCACTCATCTTCTTCTATGACTCCTAAAAGGGGATGGGCATCGTGTTGATTCAATTTAGAGAAGATAGTGGATTTTTGAACAGGTTCAAAGGCAGAGGTGATGATTTGTTTAACTGTAATATGGTTCAAGCCCGTGTCATCAATGCAAGGATGCAGAGACTTACCTTTCTTCTTAACGAAGACATAACTCGCTCCAAGAGGGGACAAGGAAGGATGTGTCATGGCATCCTGGTGGAGGGTAATGGACCCCCAGGAGGAGGTAGATGGCACAATCATACAGACAGTAACGGGGTAAAGACAAAGCAACATCTTTACTGAAAACCTGCTGAAGGTCATAATAAACCTGAGGAATGTTAGAATGGTCCGAAGGAGCAGGATTAGAGGACAGTTCTTGATGGTGAGATGGCATGGTGGATTGAAGGCAGTTATTATGGCAGAAAGAAGTCCAAAATTTGATTCTAGATTTCTGACAGTGTTATATGGGGGTTATGCTTTTGAAGGCCGGGTTAACCAGAACTTTGGGGGTGTGGCTGACAGGAAAATCAGAAACTGAATCTGTGTGCGGTCGTTACCAGAAGGTGAATGGGTCTTGTCTAGATGTCGTGGTGGTGTCATCAAGCGCAATGGCAAGGTAACATCATGGAATGACACAGGCGAGGAAGTGATTAGAGGGGACGGGATTAGGGATTGACTGCCGAACAGAAATCTTGTTAGTGTCCTGTCATTTACTTGCTATTTCCTGTGTTTGTTGAGAAAATTGGTTAGGCAATGGAACATGGATGCTTGTTGCAGAATCATGCCTTGGTTAGTAGAATAATTTTTTCCCAAAAGAATGCTTTCTTTGGAGAGGGTGACTTATAGTTGCAGAGTCAGTTTGACCAGCTGATTCTGTCATAATTAGGGGTATGAAAGACACAAAAAGCCAAACAGCACAAACAAACCTGCAAACCTAACTCTACAGGTGATTTGGGGTTCATTCAAGGTTTTTTTTTATTTTCTTTTGCTTTAGTTCTCTCTTTCTTAAAGGTAGTGGAAAATTTTCACGAATTTTTGAAAAGACCGGCCTTCTACACTTAAAAAAAAAATGCTCATGCACAACCCTGTACCCGCTCCAGAGAGGGAACGCTTATGGACAAGCCCATTTCTCCTTGTGCATGCTCTGTTTAAAAGTTGCTGTTTGCATTGCTGATACAAGCTTACTTTCCAAAAGAAGATTTGCTGGTAGGAAAGCCTTATGTAAACATATCACCAGAATGATTGACAATTGGGAGGACCACTTATTTTGATGATCCATCCGGAAAAAAAGAACATCCTCTTCTAAATAATATTTTACTCTGCACTTTCTGTATTATGTTAGTTTCCTTTTTGAGGTAATCTGTACTGTCTAAAGTAATTTTTGTTACGTTTTAATTCTTTACCTAAGGAATTTTGTGTTTTGATCTTGCCTTAGCATGTCCTCCTTAGTTGTGCTATTTGGATGTTGCCATATTGGTTCATTTTTTCCTGTTTATACTGTCAGGTGTTTTTCGTTTTTTTTCTGTTCCTCTCTGTTATGTCACACCACCTTAAACACATTTCAATATGAGGGGGTTTTCCTTTTACATAAATTTAATTTTCACCTAACCATTTTTGCCTATGCCTGCCTGTGTCTGCCTTTGGGTCCCACTCTCAGCTCCACTCCTTGTAGCATTAAATAATTTTTTAGTTATTTATTATACATGTTATGTTTGTTTTTTGTTTTTTTGCTCTTAAAAAACAAAAGGGGTATCATAAGCTTTCGTCAAGTATTTCTCAGTGTTTTTAATAAGTAAAATTGGGGTGATTAGGGTTTGCTGAGTTTCTTGGTGTATAAATAGATGCTAAAGGGGGCACTATTAATACAGCAATGGCAGTAATAATGGCTGCCAAGTCATCTTTTATCAACTTACCCTTTCATTACACTGTATCAATATGTTGATGTCCTGCATGCAGCAATGTTTAAACTGTGTTTTCTGGGCTGGTAACTGCTAAATACAAATATTATAAACATGTGCATTATTTATGAAAACTACACAGCAATGGGTTTTTTTTTTTTTTGCTGATATATAGAGAAAAGGTTGGGGGAAAAAATTCTCTTTTTGTCAGCATTTGAAAAATCTGTAGTTCCATTTATAGTTTTATGAGCAGTGTGAGGATTGGTAAAACAAGATTTATGACATAGGATTGTTCTGCATATGATTAATAAATGAGCTGCCTTCAGGTCAAAAGCGCACTGTAATTAAAGGTTCGACTAGGTGAATTTAAAATGTAATTAGTCTCAACCAAACTACTCCTCAGAGGCAGATTATAGAGCAGCAGCACCTTCTCCAGGAGGCCTTTTTTTCCTCCCTAATCTTGCTATCCATCATCCAAGAGTCTTCAGGTCTACTCCTTCTGATTGCACCTTTTAAAAATGTATTCAGGAATTTTAAAGTATAAATGTTTCAGAAAAGCAATCCTGCATTGTTGTGTTCTGTCATCTTCCTCAAATCTGACTAATAAAGTTGTGTACTGAAGCACAAAACAAATGTATTTATACTTACTGTATCATAACTAAACAACTGAAAATATGAAAGTAACATAAATAAGTGGAGTTTTTTTCTCATAATATTTCGACCTTTATTTGCATTGTGTTTTAGATCTCAAAAAAACTATTTATACCATTTAGAAGTGTTTGATTTTTCAATGCCAAATCTCACTTTCAATATCAATGCAAGTTGTCACTGATATTGCTACATATTGTCATATACTGCTACAGTTAGCAGTAGGTATGATGGGTGAATCACTTTACCTGTCTGTCTTCTTACCCTTATGTGCCCATCAATCCGGAAAAGGTCTATGAACAAAGGCGTGTATTTAGATCTGTGATAAAAGAAGCAACCCTCATCTCCCAATTTAGATCTAGAACAATTGTCAACCTAACCACCTTCACATCAGAGGACCCCCATCAGCTAACCGTTCACAGCTTCTCCCTCCAGAGATAAAGTGCATCAGTTGGGGGAAAAGGGACACCTACACTTTCTCCACACAAGCTGTGAGAATGATGAATGATACGTTGCATTCTCACCACTTACTTGCTTTTTCACACAGAGCCAGGTCAGCTTCAATTGTTCTTTTCATTATTATGTGAAATTTAGAAAGTGCATTTTCTATATCCTCAGGTCAACGTTGTCGTACTTTATAATGTGTCTGATTTTCTAATGCGCATCAATGCAACAAAGGGCAAATACAAAGTAATATTGTTAAGCAGTAAATACTATTTAAGGTAACTGTAAAATCCATTTTCCATCAAATTACATAACTCATGTGATCATGTGTGTAATTTGCTGGATTCTTAAGTATGGCAACTTGTATTATCCCTTGAGCTTGAGATAAGATGCTTATAATTAAAATCCTAACTTCTGCACACAGAGGCCTCTAGTGAAGTTGCTCCTTTGCATTGGATTAACAAGGGACAGATGCTGCTTGTCAACCCCATCAGTCTTACTGAGATTTTCTCTCTCTGAATGGTTTGTAGAAACTACAAATATAAATTGTCTGCTTAAGAACGTAGTTAAACTGCATTGTCACAAAGCATAACTGGGAGAAGATAATGACAATAATGAATAACATGGAACCAATCAATGCTTGTATACTTTGACTCCCTGCTGCCCACAAACCAGATTTCACGTGGTTGTTTTGGTCAATATTCCTGACCTGAATACCCTGCTGTATTTATACACCACCCATGTCAATACATGAATTCATTACAGAGGATGCCCAACAACAAAACTCTGGCAATGTAACTGCTAATCTATAATTCTATTTTTAAAAAAGCAAAAATATAGAACTGAATGAGATTGCTCATGTAAGGCAAATGAGCTGTTTAACTATCGGATGCTGACCTCTTTTGTATAGCAATGTGTTTTGTGGCAGTGAAAGTGTGTCACCCTGCAACAGCTTGGGCACACTGTTGGAGGCCAGGACAATTGGGGCAGACAATTAAAACTGGGCAAAGCCAGAGGACAGAAACCCATTGGAAAGGATCTGACATGGTTAAATTGTGTGTGTCCATTTCAGATGTTGGTCTTAGGCTTGAGTCTGCACAGAAAGAATCACACCGGACTTTTCAAAGTAAAAGAACTGAGGTGTTAAATATGGCTACTTTAAAGCGGAAACCAAGAGCCAGAACAGGTTCAGCTCGGGAAGATCGGGGATCCTGCTCTTCAACTGCATCTTGTCCAGGCTTCTCTGGACCCTACAGTGACCAAGAGGAAGAGCACTCTCTGCGCAGGCAGTCCTCCCCAGTACTTAACGGGTCTCTCTCGAGTCTTTGTAACTCCATCAGCCCAAGTTCAAAAGGCTCCCTCTCAAGCTTCCAAGGATCTGTTCCATGTCTGCAAAGTTCTTTGCCAAATCTTCAAGGATCTTTGCCAAGCTTCCAGAGTTCAGTAGTCAACCTTCGGAGATCAATTTCTCAGCTAAAGAGGCGGTCGCCAGGCAATCTGGAGAACTCTAGCCCAAACGAGATGTCTACAAGTCTCCAAAGCTGCCATGGCAGTTCGAGTGATGATGATGGCAGCTGGGATACAAATAGCTGGAGCTCAGGGGTCACCTGCCTTTTACGAATGCCAATCAATGAAGATAGTAGCCAGGTTTCAAGGGAATCAGATAGTTGCACTTGCACTGGTGACCAGGCGACCTCTAATGCCAAACCAGAGGATGAAATAATTTACCAGAATATCGTCTTTTCACATGCTACCGGTAAAGGTGAAGCTGAATATAAAACAGAGTGTTCTCCAAAGGTCTGCACTGTTCAACAAAGAGACACAGAAAGCCAAGGGATTTCTCATGTGTGCCGAACTGAGAATGCTTCTACAGATTCACTCCATCAGCAGGATAAAAAGGTAGAGGACAGACAGAAGTTCTCCAAGTTTTTGAATGAGGTGACCTGCCGGGTGCTGAAAACTAACAGTGAGTCTGCTTTACAATCTTCCAACCTTCACTATAATGAGAAATCTCTTCTACCAACAAGACTAGCTTGGTTACCACTTTATCCTGATCCAATGAATCCTCTACCATTATCTACATCAGCCACAAACTTGTGGTACAGCCCTACCAGCTCTAACCTTCAGACAATCAGGGAATGCAATTCCAAGGATCTAAAGAACTCTATCCACCAGTGGAGCAAGACAGTACCCAGCTGCAAGATCTTGGACTCTGAAGAGGCATTGAGGAAATTAAAGAGTGCGAGTCACTCCAACCCAGATCACCACGTAAAGTTATGTACAAAGATCCAGACGCAGCCAACTACAGGGAGGTTTTATCTCGAGACAGATATTGACAGAGTAAGGAGGCTTGATGAACTGGTCGCTAATGGCACCCTTGGGAGGGGGAGTTTGGAGAGAGAAAAAAAGAGAGGAAAACATATTCCATGGGAGAGAAATGGAGGCTTGGTAACGGAGAAAGGAAGAAAGGACAGAGAGAAAAGAAAAGATTTCTCATGGGAGAGAGACAGAGGAGAAAAAGTCAGACAAAATGGTGCAAAAACAGAAAAGACTTGGGAGCAAAACAAAAGGGCTGAAAGAGGGAGAGAAAAGGAGAAGAAAGTGGAATTTCCAAGTAACGAACCACGTCCATGCCATGTGGCTGAGAGTGGATGGGATAAACCCTGTCCTGTTTTCAGCTGGCCAGAAGGATTTCCTAGAGTCTCCTACAGATCTACATCACTGCCTAGACCTGTGAATGTCACTGTAAGTAGAAAAATACATTCATGAATCGATCAGTTTGTTCGAGAAGAAGTGGTCAAGGTCTTCCACTGTCTATAACTGTCTTTATGTCTTTATGTTTGTTCCATTTGCCTTTAATTACAATATTTTGTTTAATTTTGTATCTGGTTTTCTCATGATTGGGTAGCCATCATGTTGACATTAATTAAGTCTGCATTCACTAATCTGTACAAAAAGCCTTTATTTACCTTATAAATTGTACACTACACTTTGTATTGTATTGATCCTATCAAGCAGATCCGCCTCAAATCTTGCAAACACTGATATCAGGATCACATCATCTACTTGATGAATCAAAAGAACCCTTTTCGAAAGTCATCTTTCTGACTTTTAAGCTTGTGTATAAAATAATTTCCCTGTTGGTTTTAGGGGATATTAAAATTTTCCAAAAACTGTATGCTGGCAACTTTTTCTTCCACTCTAGTAATTTCTTTGGTCATTTGGATAGCTTTCTATCATATATCAATATTATTATTAATATTATTAATCTGAATTCTTCTTTTCCCTCAAATATTACAGTTTAAATCAACAACTTTTTTGAGTCCAGTGGACTAAATTTCCCTCCCAGCAGCAGCAAGTCTGCCATGTAAACCGGCATATGCCTCTCAAAAGGGAGTATTAAGGGTCATTGTTGGCCTGGCTGACCATGTGATATACAGGGGACCAAAACATCTCGCCTGTTCAGCCAGGCCAACAGTGACCCTAATGACTACCTTTTGAGAGGCATATGCCAGTACCGGGTATTGCAGGCAAACAATGACCTCAATGAATCCAAATTACTAAGGGGTGGACCTGTTCTTTTGGTTGAGTTTGCATGTTTTCTAAGCCATAACAAGGGTTTGTTGGGCCACTATATAGAGCTTGGAACTCAACTCTAAACCAGACATTGAAAATGCCTGCTTGATGAGAAGTGAAAACGTCTTCAAACGACAAAACTCTGTGGTTTGTTTATTAACTTTTTAACTATTTTTGTTAACAATATTCGATATTTGCGACTCTAAAAACCTTTCAATCAGGTAGACTGATGGACTTTAAAGGCTGCAGACCCTGTTTTAATTGTTCCGTTCATTAGATATCCTTGCAGTTCCTTCCTTTTCATGTGCAATAAAAGCAGAATAAACTTTTGCAGGATTTTTCTCCTTTTTATTAGAAAAAACGCTCCAGGAAGACCAGAGTTTTTGACAGAAGGAGCTTTCAGGGATAAGTCATGAAAGGCTTATTAACCAATCAGAAGTGTTCTAGCAAACACTCAAGTCATGTCATGATATGTAACAGATATCGAAAATTTATTCTAATTTTAATATTCTAACAATATATTTATAAAACAAACATCCATCTGTCTATCTATACATTGTCTATACCCTCTTGTCCTCTAGGGTCCCAGGGGCTGGTATCTATCTCCAGCAATAGGTTGGTGAAGGACACACCCCTTTCAGGTCTGTGTGAATTCACAGTGACCCAGTCACCCAACAGTCATGTTTTTAAACATTTCAAACAAATAACCATTCCACTGCATAATAAGACAGCCTTGATATACTTGCTTGGACATAAATCAATATTTAGAATCAATATTTAAGTTCCCTTAAATAAGAGCACTTATATACTAATAGGCATGAAGAGACATTTTTTGAACGCAGGTGAAAGATTTTTTTTTTTTAGAATATAAAAAGTTTGTATTTATTTAGAATTTAAAACAACTAATAATTTGATATATCTTATCTTAGAATAGAATAGAAAGTCTCTTTATTGTCCCACAACGGGGAAATTCTGGTGTTTACAGCAGCAAAAAGATTATAGAAAAAAAGGTCACACAAATATGGACCTTAGAAAAGTGTATACTGTAAGAACAACATAACAGTGAAGAGTTAAAAGATAACAAAATACTCTACTGTAAAGTGTTTTAAGAATATAAAAACCGTGCACCTGGAGAATAAATAGCCAATATACAGCTGTGGGCATTTTTACAGTAATGGATATTTGAAAATAGCAGCAACATCAGAGATGTGCAAAACGGCAGCAGCATGTTATTTTATTAACTAAGGTAGTAACTTTGCAAAATCAGAATGAATGTAACAGCTTATTGAGGTTGTTGGGAACAGTGGTGGTTTTAGAGTCTTACAGCTGCTGGGAGGAAGGATCTGTGATAAAATTCACGGGGTGGGAGACAGTATCAAACAGAGATATTAATTTATTTAGGGTCCTTTTGTTTGCCACCTCCTGTCCAGATGGCATCCAATCACAGAGGCTAATTTGAGTTCAGAAGCTCCTGAGCTCCTTTTCCTGTTAAATCACCTTGAGAAAGGAATTTGTATCTGAAGCCCAACTTAAAAATTTCTGTTCTGTTTTTGAATAGCCCCTGCCAGGGTGTTTTAGTCCCATTTTCTTTTGAAAACCAATGTATATTCCCATTTAATCCAAACCTGATTCAAGAGAATGTACAAAAATCGTCAACGGTTGTTGACGATTTTTGTTACAGATGGTTTTCTCATCAGCAAAGCATCTTCAAATTATGATACATCCTCCTTTGTGCGCTACTGTGAGAACCTAGCAGTCCAAAAGTTCAAATACAAACTTGGAATATAATCAAATTTTAATTACTATCCCCAAATCAGAAACTGACCCAGAATTATAAAAGAATATAATCTTCTAATCTTTTTATATATATAAATCTGAAATAATAAAAAAAATGTACGTTTCAGGTTCTGGGCTGTTTTGTAAACAAGTAAATCAGCAGCAAATCAAATACTTATACCCACACTTTTTCGTAGCAACTTTTTGGTCTGTCCCATAAATTCCACAAAATGTATGCTGGAGAATAATATTGTTTCATAATGACAATTAAGATTTTGATTAGTCATGTTGAAACAACTGAGTTACCTGAAAAATTGACCTGAAAAATGTTAAATTCTAACATTTTTAACTGCAATGGAAAGCTTTAGAGGACAAACCAACAACAAGAGTTGACAGCCACTCTCTAACAAGTAGAAAAGTAAAAATAAATAAAAAAAAATGCTTGGCAGCACTCCAATCTGTTGCCACTACTGGCTCCATGTTGTATGAGTGGCTGCATGCAGTCTGCAACTGAACTGGCAAAAACTTTCTAAGCCCGTTTTTTTGAATTTATTGTTATCTTTTCCCCTTTTAAATTAAGCAAAGAAAGTATTCTTAGGAGATGAATCTGATTTTTTCTAAAAGTAAATAAATAGAAACTTGTGATCATAGTTTACACCTCCGAGGAGTGTCAATCCACCGCTCCTCCCTCTTCTCTCCAGGCTTGCCCTCTGCAGAGAGGGAAGCTGAGATGGAAGGATGGATGTAGGGGATTACTCTGTGCTGTCTCATTCAGTATCTGTATGAGTCATCCTGCTGTATCATTCACTATGTTTGAAACACCCACACCGGACCGGCTGTAAAATCCAGCTACACATGCTCACAAACTCTCTCTGCGCACCCATGAACTGAGTTCCCGCTGCGTACCTGTTACATTTATTCATACACCTTACTGATTCTTCTACATTAAACCCTCAGGCAGGCTGGGGCTTTGCACAACACTGAAGTACACAGCTGCAGGCACACCAAGCTCCTGCACCACAACCCAGACATTAAAGAATCACTCAAAGGGGAATATTTTATTGCAAATAATAAAAAGAATCTTTAGAATATGGTGAGTTGCATCACCATGACTACAATCTGCCTCTGCTTGGTTAATTCTAGACCGGAAATCAAAGTGGATAATTGGTTCTGGAGCAAATAATTTAGCCAGTGTAAAAACCTAAATGGTTGTATCCTCTCTTAAAATCCCCTTTTCAAACATAATCCAAGTATAATGTACAAAACAAAAAATATTTGTTTGCCCCCATGTAAAGAGAATTAAAAGTCAGCACAACATATTTTCACATATTTATGCTGTGGTGATGTTGTTTATATTTGGTTTCTAACCTAAGTTATTCCACAGAGAGTTACAATGCTTTATCCTTTCCCTTTTTAATTTCTTTGTTTTTGTTTTTTGTTCACAAATATGTTCTGCTCCTCTACTGTGTTTCCAACAAGTAAATAAACCATCACCTTTGGGTACTTTCTCTCCACATCTGCAGTACAGTACTTCCTTTTGCAGTGTAAATATGTCTCTCTTCTGCTCTGTTCCCCTCCCTCTTCCCTACAATGATCTCACTACTGACATAACACAAAATAATAGATATATTTGTTTGCTGAGGCATAGCCGCTCTGAGAGCCCCTTTAAACAGCAGATAAGAGGTGATCAGCAGCAGTGTCAGATAAATCTGCTTGATAAATGCATGTAATCATTTCACCCTGCTTTCTTCTCCTCCTACCAGGAATCTGATGGAGAGATGCGGCACGACACAAGGTAAGACACTTTTACTTTTTTCCTCCACCAAACCTCGCCTCCTTTTCTCCCTCCTTCTCCCCATCACTCCCAGAACTCCTCCTCTCCCATTCAATTCGCAGCTCTACCTCTCTCATTTTCTCCTCACCTCCCTCCCTCCCTTCCTTCCTACTAGCCTGTCTCCAGTCAGAATTAAGGGAGTCTTTTTCTAAATGCCTTATATTCTGAGGGGGGAACCACAGACACATGACTTGTGATCTTATCTGCTGAAAATGAGGCGAAAAGCTCCTAAACGGTAAGGCAAAGAGAGGCAAGGAGGTGCATGCTCTGATTCATCAGCTGCTCTGAGATGACTGAGTGTAGTTGCTATGTCATACATTATGACTGTTTGGAGTGCAATTCTTTAGCTGTCCATGTGTTGCATTGTCACAGAGTGCTCTGACAAATAGGGATTGTGCCTGCAGAGATTTAAACAGTGTGTTATGATGATTGGAGAATATGAAACCTCCTGCTGGAGTAAATTGAATTTAACTGGTTTTAACAGACTGCAGCAAAATAGCTCAAGCAGATCAGGACAATTAGTTTCACTTCAATTCTCCATGTATTTATTCATTTATTTATGATCTGCTGTCATTAGGATTTTATTAGTACACGAATAATGAGGTGCCAAATGTTTTTCATAGCCCTCGATTAGCTCTTATTTCCACGGGTAAGATGATACCACAGAGAGACAATTACAGCTGAACAAGCGCGTCATGAGGAAAAAAAGTTGCTCTCATTAAGTCCGACTCTTCACCAGATTACAACAAACACAGACAGAAACTGAGCAGAATCCACAATTAGGTGAAAAAGGGCTGTTTGTAATTTACTGAGCAGTTCTTAAACTCCAATTCTAGAACCTTTAGGTGGCTTTAAAACTAACATGTCAACATGACTTGCACAAACATGTAAAGTCATTTGGTTTCCCATTCAACCTTAACCTCTTGATTTTGCTTTTTGGGATAATTTGGGGTGGTTTGCTTTGGAGAAAAAGTGAGCATTGTTTTTCTAATTGTTTCTATGCTTTGAATTTTGTCAGGACCTTCTAATGGAAAAAGAATTACGCTGTATACAATGGAGATTATTTAATCAAACACCTGTTCTACTGTATTTGTTTTTTATTAATTTTGTCAGAAAATGCTTATTTACTATGGTGGGAAAAAAACTGAGAGAAATTAAACACTTTTAAAACTTAAATACTAATTAAACTGAAAAAAGAAAAAAAATGAAATATTTTGTTAGGTTCTCTACACAAATTATCCACTACCATTCTGGTAATTACTCTGGTTTATCAAAGGACAAATATAGAATTTGTCCTTTGATAAACCAGAGTAATTACCAGAATTGGAAGCTTTTTCTTTTAAGTGTAGTTTGAGTTGACTCATAAACATCAGGATAATCCTGCATCTCTCTGAGTATTCATGTGGAAAAATCTGACAAGCATGTGACAAAATGAGAACAATGCTGATTAAAGGAGATGATTAAAAATTTGCACAAAGTGAAACATTTTCCCTCTTGTAACAATTTTCTGCTCCAAAGCTCCATGCATAGACTAGAGTGACAGCTGTTGGTCTTTGTTTTAGAATGTAGAGAATTGCTTTATTAAATGGTTTGCAGGTTCTGATTACTGTACTTGTTTTGGTTTAACTTGGAAAATGCTGACAGGTTAGGATAAAATCAATCATGTCAAGGTGAAACTGAGGTCTGCAACTTCAGTAAAAAAAAGTGATATTTCCTTGTTTTGTTGTTGTTGTTGTTTTCACACAAATAGGACATTTAGTTAGGAAATTTGGGCTAGTTTTTTTTTTTTTTTTTATGAAAGAAGAGGAATACCCATAATCGACTTAACCCTTTTTTTATATTTTGCCAAATCAAAAAACTGCAAACTCAGCAGGTTTGCAGGTTGCAAAGCTTGAGGACATGTTGAGGAGGTCATTCAGCCATTAGGATCAGCTGTGTTGGAGTTGGAACATGAGAGACATTCCCCTTTAGTGACTTGAGTTGGACAGAACTAAGTTAAAGTACTTCAGTGTAGCACTCGCTGTATGTTTACAATTAATAGTCCCACTGAATGGGGAACCTCCACTCTGACCTAAAATCTTCTGCATTCTTTGACAGCTTTTTCTTCCAGGATTGTCCTGGATATTTCTCCATACAACTTTCCGTCAACTCAGCCCAACTAAGTTAAATAATCCACATGGCATGATCCATCATGGCATGAACCACCTTTATGGAGATGATGGTTTCATGGATGTCTCTGATACCTTTTTGATCTCCAATATGATACCAATACAGCATTGAGGATTCACTGGTGCCAATATGATACAATATCAGATGCCACATCCTCCTGTCCGTGTCAGGTCAGGTTCAGAACGGCTTTGTGAAAAGCAGCGCCAACTGTATCCGCGGTAATAGCATCAAGCTCTGCTCCAAGTTCTTTGAAGTCTGAGATTTCTAAGCTGAGCCAAGCAGACCGGAACAGAACAGACAATTAGATTTGTTCTGTATTTTGATGAACGGCGGAGGGTACGTCCATGGAGGGCGACGCTCGGGCGAGTCACCATGAATGTGGAATGGTTATTAATTTGTTAAAATAACAACACAGTTTCTCCATCAGGCGTATGTGAGCATACCTGAGCAGAGCAGGGGAAAACTGGAGGATCGGGAATTTCTGTGTTAATCGTATGCTTTTATTTATTTTGGGATGTGGAATGTATCCAAGATTCAAAGAAAGGTTCCTTCACACTTTATCGCCCTCAGTCAAGGATTTATTGATGTAACATTTCGGTTCAGACAGTCTGTGGATAGATTTCTTGTTACACCCTCTTCCTATGCACCTGTGTCTTCAGGTGTGCTTAGATTTTGCACTGTTTGAACGTAGCATTGAATTTTTTAAAAAGCCAGGATCAAGTGATTATTACTGAATTAGGAAACAACAATAGGAATGAGAACAGCTGACCCATTTATCATTCACCAGTGGTTTCAATAAATGTTAAATAGAAGCTGTTTCTATCATCTTGCTGATGTTGAAGAGTTCAGATGCAGGGCTTCATATGATGATATTTATTCCTGGTTGATAACAGACTGATTTACAATGTCGGATCAGGACATTCTTAATGGTTCCAGGACAAACTGCAGGGTTAGATTACCGCTGCTTAAATTGTACATGCATATTGTCTAAAAACTTCCATTTTGATTTCGGTCTGATCAGAGCACCTTCTTCCACATGTATCCCGTGTCTCATATATCGCTTGTTAAAAACAGCCAACATGACTTTTGATGGCTTTTTTTTCGATGCAAGCTGCTTTCTTGCCACATGCCATTGAAGCCCATTTGGGGAGTGAAGGACCAATTTGATTAAATTAAGAACAGGTAGACAATTAGTTGAGTTTTGAATATAATTGTTTGCACTGGATTTTCTATAAGTGTTATCATAGATAAGGGTGCTAAATACATATCAACTGATTCATTTTTAGTGCTTTTATTGATTGAAAAATGGAATTTCAAGTATGTGCTTCCTTCAGGTCTACAACCAAGTTATATTATGTGGTGATCAATATCAAAAACTCAATTAAACATTTTCTGTTTTGTAATAACACTTTTTGTAGGCACAAAAAAAATAAATAAACCTGTTACAGAGACAATTTAAATCCTATAAAATCCAACGCTTTTAATTAGATTTCTACGTGTCATTTCAGAACTATTAGTTTTATCCCCGATCCAGTTTATTAAATCTGTCAACCCCTTCACAACATCACTATCTACCTCCTCTTTAATCGCACTTTGAGAAACATGCTTATAGTGGCTGCGTTTCTTCCTCTCCAGTCTTTCACAAAGCATGGCACGTAGCCCACCAAGCAGATGCTATGTGAAGTCTCCCTTCAGGTTAGCCTGGAGCAGTTTACCACCTCCTTGCTCTTTCATTCTCCTGCCTAATTATTTCTTAGACAGGAAGATCAGAGATTTATGCAGGGACTATTTCTGAGGGAGGTCTACTGTAGCATCTGAGAGGGGTTTTTGAAGGATGTGCCTTGGAGAATACCCCAGAGAGTTTCCTTTTTTTCCCTTCTTTTTTGCCGCATGCGAGAGAGAAAGTGCTCTCGTGTCCATATTCTTTGATTTAAACTTGCCACTTCACCAAACTCATCACTCCATGGACTGTTGGTGATACACCTGTCTGCCACCAACACATATCCAGATCTGCCAAAATCAGGGGAAGTTTACTTATAGTGATTTTACCACCTTTTTTTGTGGATACGGTTAGATATTTTTTATCTGAACTGAAAGATTTTTAGTTCCAGACCTAATCTTCTTTTGTTAGATAGCTAGGTCTAAAGCTAGTCTTTTTAGCTGTTGTTGATGCATTCACAGTGAAAATTTGGCTTTAAATATACATTAAACGCAGAAAAAGATTGTTTCTTAAAAAGCAAGCTCCTACATGTAGTAAAAGCTGAACACCAAATGTTGTCATTACAGTGAAGCGCCCTACTGCACTGTGCATGCACACAATCACAAGACCTGGTTAATTATTTTAGTGGTGTCTAAATTTCCAGTCTGGGCTCACGCAAAGTCTATAGTTTGGTAGCTGAAACAGAGAAGGTCTCAGTTATTTATTCATTGACATTTCTGAGAGGAGTTTACATGTCTTTATGAAATCAAAATCAACAGTAATCCATGGCTACCGAAAAGATTTCTATAGTTCGTATTTGAAAAATTTAAGGGTATTAAAAAAAAAAAAAATCTTCCTGATTTCGGAGATAACAAAAATTAAGATTTTAGCAAGGATTTTAAATGTTCATTTGTGAATGCTGCCCTGATCGCTTATCAGCAAGACACTTGCTGCTTCCTGGTTCATTACTTTGTATTCGGACGTTCTTTAACATTTGAAGTAATCAGAATTAATAAATTTAAAAAGGACATTCACCCTATATAACAGCTATCAGTATTCTATGTAATGCTTAAAATTGAGCAGCCTTTATAGC